GACTTTTCCATTTGATTACATTTTGTATGATGGATTCTGAAGAAAAAGTAGAATTGGGCTGAAAGATCTATTTCTTTATCACCTCTTCAGGTTGTAAATCGTGTTTTTAAAAAGTAACTAAATAACTAAGTAATTAATTACTTTTGAAAATAAGTAATCAGTAAAGTAACGGGATTACTTTTGGGGGGAAGTAATCAGTAACTAATTTTTTCAAGTAACTTGACCTACACTGGGTCCCTGTTTTCTGGCCATGTGGTTACCTGCTCACCCACTGAGCTAAACTGGCACCCAGTAGCTTCACTTTCATTTCATCTGTCCAAGGGACATTTTTCTGGAAGTCTCATTGTTTGCAGACCTTCTCCCATGTTCTTCTTAGAGAAGAGTCTCTCCCCTAACTAGCAACTCTAACAACCCAGACGTTCTAGTTTTGTCTTCTTCTTGTTATTCTGAAATTAGGTTTCTGTAGTGGTATCAAGAATGGTTGGAAGGACATTTTGCACAGTTCACTATTCTTGATAGTTTTTACCCTTTCAGTGTGGTTATCACCAGCTTTGCAAGTACTACAGAACTATAGCACTTATTACACTGGGGGACAACAGTGTAACTCCCACTTTTTTTCCAATTCAAATCTACCCTGTAATTAAGTCTGTCAACTCCATATCCAGCTTCCAAAGTGGTATCTCTACATATAGTGAAGAAACTGTTACTTTGAAAGAGAGAGATGAATAAAAGCTTCTCCAGCTAACCATAAAACACCTTGTTATATCAGACTTAGTGAAATAGCCCTATTAGATCCAGCGAGACCTATCCAGTCCTCATTACGCCCTTCAGTGAACTCGCTCCCATCTGCCCTGCCATCAGTCACCAAGGAATATTTAAAAGTAATTGTCATGAAGCGAGCAGAATAGATTTCAGACCTGCCACAGAGGGAAAGATTATGCCTCACTGACCACTTTAAGAGTAAATCTCAGTGGCCTTGTTCATTTCTCTATTTTTTCTGCCAAGTTTTTTTTTCTATACATGTTTCATCTTTTTTTTCAATGTAGTATGCTCTCATTGGAATCAGGAAGGATTTCTGTCAGAAAATCTTCTTAAAGCAGCACTTGGCAAGATTTTGATGGGGAAAAAATGCCCATGTGATCAGACTAAATCATGAAGCGCAGCTCATCCACACTAATGAGGAGCTGAAAATTTGGCCTGTTTTCCCCCACTGAAATGTTTGTGTCTGGGTCATCCCTGTTGGGAAGTCTTGTATTCCAGAGTCTTACCGCAAAGATTTGAAAGGATTCCGGCTAGGTGTTTTCCCAAACTTCTTGGCTTAAAAAGTGAACTTATCCATTGCTGGAGTTTCTAATTTGTGTCAAATAGAACAATTTCTGCATGGGCACACTATTCTCTGATCTAGTTTTACATCTATTCTAAATATAAACATTTCAAGATCTCTTGTTGCTGTTTTAGCTTTAGTAAAATCTTCTTCATCCCAGAGAGTCTCCGTTTCTCTTCCTTCCCTTCATCCAATCTGTGAGACATGCAGCAGCCTCTCATTGGGCTCCCTTTAAGCTTATAGCAATCATCAGAGAGCCACTCCACAGTGACTCATTGCATTTATATTTAAGCCTCTTTCTGTCATCTCTACATGTCCACTGATCCAACCATCCATCAGTCAGCACCTCTACAAACAACAGGCCTATCTCACTGCTGCACCAAATCTTCTTATGGCCTAAAGAGCCATTGACACAATGGATCTCTGCTTCTCCTTGTTTTCTCCTTTCACCGTTTTTAGCAACATTTATTCTTACGCTAACCTTCCACATCTTCCCTTATTTAGTCTATCTTATGGCTTCACTAGTGTGATTCTTTGTTAGAAGCAATGTTCCCAAAGGAGCATAGCCCACACATTCTCTCATCACTGTCACTTATCTACTCCATCTCCACAGTGACTGAGAAACTGATACCTACACCTCCTCTCTATAGAGATCTCTTTACATGGTGCATTGTTGCCATTCACGTTTCACCTGTATAATTTAGAGCTGGAGAAGCAATAAAGCACAAGAGATGTTCATTAGTCCAACAAGTCCAAATCCAACAAGATATTTTGCCAAATCTGTGATGCTTTAAATTGAGCTTTAAATGCTATAAATTTAGAATAATTCAGCTTATAATGGGTTTCAACTGTGTAAATTTCTATAGCTTTTGGCCACAGGGGGGCGCTCCTTGCTCAGTGCCAGAGACTGTCTGTTGAAAATAGAAAAGCTAAATACTGTAATGAAATAAGCAACTCTGTGTCCACTACAGAAACAAACCTGGTTGGCTTTATTTTGTTTTTATCATCAGCAGTCTAGTTGCATTAAAAGTCTGTTTTTCCGTTCTCAAATATTTTTTTGAGAAACAATTCAAAATTCAAATGAATTTTCTGAGAATTCATTTGATTGTGCAGTTGCAATAATGGCAGTTATTGATTAACAGTAGTTCTAATTAAACATTTGACATCCACAACATCATAGTGCTGTTTTTTAATATTATCTGTTTGTTAGTTTTGTGTTTCTGTTGCTCCAGAGTAGCCATAATGCAGTTAATTGACCTTAAAAAAGCCCAGATATTCAGTACATCATTGCACAATGCTGTATAAAAAACCTACAATCAATATTTTTTTCTGATTAAAACTATTTCAATTGTTAGGATTTTAATAACTACAAGTCACGTGCCTTGACCTCCACCCCTCTGCTTTGAATATTTAGCCACCACAGAAATAGTGAGTTGTTTCAGGTAATAGTTTGCTTGGGAAGCCTCTTGTTGATTGGACTTGATTACATCACTTCCTTTACATGTAAATAGTTTTGTTGCGGTAACAACTGTGGCATCTAAATAATGGTACTAATTAGCAGGAAGGTACTGCTGTGCAGTGAAGAAAGCTAATCCATAATGCATGACTTTTATTCGTGTATAAACAGCTTGTTTCAAATGTCTTTTTGAAACTATAATGTGGGGTATGAAGAATGTTTGTCCTGTCAATTTTTATAATGTGCCTACGCCTTTCAAATTTCAACATAAACAACTGCTGATGTGATTTGTTGCTATATAAATGAAACTGAATTGAATTGAACATGCCATGGTTCTAATCAATACACACAAACATACAGTGCACTTTAGACTTGGCAGCCATGTTCCAGGTGCTCGTGTCCTCGTGACAATTCACAACAGCCTCATGGCAATTTATATTATAAGGTAAAGCCCCTACAATCACTCTGTGCCCTGTGAGCAAGCACTTGGTGACAGTGGGAAGGAAAATCTCCTTTTTACCAGGAAAGACCTCGGATACAACCAGGCTCATGGAGGGACAGCCATCCATTGAGATAAGTCATGGGCAAGGGGAAAGAGAAGAGAAGAGAGTTCCCAGTTATTAAATACAATAGTGTTGTATAAACACACAGAGAGTGGAAAGAGATGTGTGAAGAAGAAACGTAAAGCGCCCTCAGCAGCCTAACCTTTGCAGCATAAATAAGGGAAGGTTCAGACTCAGCTGATACAGTCCTAACTAAAAGCTTTATCAAAAAGGAAGGTTTTAAGTGTATTTCAAAATTAGAGTGCACATATGCTCTTCATCTAAACTGGGAGCTAGTTCCACAGGAGAGCGGCCTGATAGCCAATGAAGAGCAGCTAATATGGGAAAAGTCCACTTAGTACTCTTGATTCAAACAACTCCAGTACAATTCCTTTAATACTAACAGTGTGTTTAAATCGCTGTAGTAAAATACTGTGGTCAACAGTATCAAATGGACAAGCACTGAGATGCTTGTCCATTTGATACTTTTTGACCACTGTCAAAAAGTCATGCTCCAGTGTGTGTGTGTGTGTGTGTGTGTGTGTGTGTGTGTGTGTGTGTGTGTGTGTGTGTGTGTGTTAATTTATATTGGGTTCACATACTTTCTGCATTTCTCTGTTATGGGTCCCTGAGAAAAAAAGGTGAGATATGTGGTTTCTGTTGACTAATTCCATGATTCAAACCACCCTCATTTTGTAGGAGAGACTGACATTCCCCTGAGAAAACCTTTGAATACAGTAAACACAAATTATGCACAGTTGGTGACTGGGGTTTATAGCCTCTGTCATTTATTTGTCATATTTATCAACTACTTAAATGAACACTTTAACTAATAAAAACGTGTCACATATAAATATGTAAGCGAAAACCTTGTTTTTTTCTGATTTGGTCGTGTGTGCTGCAGATGTGTTTTGGCTCTCTGCTGCCTCTCTGTGGTCTTAAATAAACATTACATTTCACTGTGATAGTGCTCTCTCTATTCAGCTTGATTTCATTATCACTATTGCGTTAAATCCAAATAACGCACAAGTTCATCTGTGATAACATCTGTGGTAATGTAACATTATAAACTGTGTAAGAAGAGCCGCATGCATATAAAATCATGGATACGGTTTTAATAATGTCCTTGAAGCAAACTTTTTTCTTCAATGGCAATTATTAAAAAGAAGCTAAGCAGATCCTCATTAATCTTATAATATCATTCTGCTTATAACCTTTTTATTATAAAAAATATGACATCAAACATGAAACAGGCATGAGAAACAAAGAACAATCCAAACAGGTTTCCTGCTGCACCTTCAACTGTACAGGTAATGATTCAGAGTCAGAATTCAATTCAATTGAATCACAACATTAAGGCAGTTTATACTGTAGGATAAACCCTGCGGTATTACATAGAACATTCTAGCAACTGGAGCAAGCACTTGGTGACAGTGGGAAGAAAAAAACCTCTTTTAATAGGAAGAAGCCTCTGCTCTGGGAGCGACGGCTTCTTCTTCTACCACGTCTGGTTGGCTGTGAGGGGGGCAGACAAAAGACACACTGTCTGAGAGACAGAGATTAACAATAGAAATTAATATAGAGATTACAATTATTGATTACATGTACAGTGGTGTATAAAAGTAATAAAAAACTGTGATTTTTACAGTGTGTTTTTTCCCTTTCTTCCTTCATCCAGGCATATGGGCCAACTTTTTAATACCCCTGAAAAATGGAGAAGTGATCGAGGGTCAGTATGTGGAGCTGCAGGCCCGGTACACTGGCGGCAACCCAAATTCCAAGAGTATCGCCTGGAACTTTTTGATGCCTAACACCAGCCAGATGAAGATGGTAAGGAAACAATTACACTTAGGTCTAATATATATCAAGCCAAGACAAGAAAAGACTTAAAGGTTTCTAATACTACTGTGCTGTGCAGATAGATGATCCAAAAGGAGGATCACAATCAAATAGATTTAGGGGAAGAAAGAGAACTCAGGAAGGAAAAGGATACAGGGTTTTTTTTTTATTATTTCCCTTAGTGTCTCACCTTACTTTACTCTTTACAGGAAGAAACATTCATTAAATGTAAAAACATTTTCACTGATAAAAGAACAAAACTTAACTGCAATCTATTCAGAGTCGTATGTGTTTAGACAAGATAAAGTGAGCAATTCCCCTCTGACAAATTGTTCAATTCTATTGTATTTTATTTATACAGCACCAAATCACAACAACAGTCACCTCAAGTCACTTTATAGTGTAAGGTAGATCGTACAATAATAGAGAGAAAAACCCAACAATCATATGACCCCCTATGAGCAAGCACTTTGGCAACAGTGGGAAGTAAAAACTCAGTTTTAACAGGAAGAAACCTGCGGCAGAACCAGGCTCAGGGAGGGGCGGGGCCATCTGCTGCGACCAGTTGGGGTGAGAGAAGGAAGACAGGATAAGACATGCTGTGGAAGTGAGACAGAGATTATTAACTAGAAATAATATGTATATAAACACATAGTGAGCGAGAAAGGTGACTGAAGAAGAAATACTCAGTGCATCATGGGAATCCTCCAGCAGCCTCAGCATAACTCAGGGTCACCTGATCATGCCCTAACTGTACTACTTTAGCAAGAAGGAAACTCTGAATCCTAATTTTAAAAGTAGAGATAGTGTCGGTCTCCCCAATCCAAATCTGGTTCCACAGAAGCGGGGCCTGAAAACTGAAGGCTCTTCCTCCCATTCTACTTTTAAATGAACTAGGAACAACAAGTAAGCCTACAGTCTGAGAGCAAAGTGCTCTAATGGGGTGGTATGGTACTAATTATGTAAGTAACTAAAATTTGACAAAGTGATATTTTTTCCAAACTGCTAATATATGTTTCCTATGCATAATATAATAATAGTAATATGGAGAAAATAATTGACAAGAACCTATTGTGCCTTTTCCAGCTCTTGGTTTTGTTTTTGAATGCTATTAGAGTTGCTTGGCATCATTTGTAGTTGAAAGTAATCATAAATACCAATGCATGAGTTCTTGGTGCAGCCCCTCAGTTCATCTTCTCTTTTAAACAGACAGTTTTTGCTCCTCACCGTTCTTACCTTTAAGGTAACAGGCGATGATGCGTTTAGATCACTGTGGAGTGATTTTGGCCCACTCTTCTTTGCAGAATGCTTTAATTCTTTCACATTGGAGGGCTTTTGAGAATAAACGGTCTGTTTAAGGTCTTGCCAAAGCATCTCAATCAGATTTAAGTCCGGTCTTTGACTATTTTGATCACTCCAAAACCTTCATTTTTTCTTTTGCTGCTATGTTCTGGATCACTTTCCTGGTGCTTAACTCAAATGTAATTGAACTTCAGAATACAAGCTGATGGCAGGAGCTTTTCCTTCAGGATTCTCTGGTATAAAGCAGAATTCAAGGTTCCATCAGTTACAGCAAGTGATCAAGGTCCAGACCATCAGGTGACTAGATTACTCAAAGAAAACAGATTTTAATCTAAGAACATCTTTACTTTTTACTGTAAATGGTGCATCTGCCTTGAACCGTTCTATTTATACTGTATTTCAGCCCCTTCCACTGCAGAGATACATATGCTGGAACTAGGTTTTATATCAGGCTTCTTTTGTTGTGTTTTGTTTTTTATTGTACAAGAGCCATATTCGTTAGAATGTAGTATTTATCTAACAATACAGACCTGCATAATTTGTGTTAATTAAATTGCAGAGAATGAGAGCTGAGAATTTATAGATCAGGTTCAAGAACATTAATATTACTGTTTAATTTGGCCTTATAGGTGGAAATGTGAAGGTTAGATTTTATTTTATTCACAACTGAACATAGAAAACATGTCCAATGTTTAAACTGAGAACGTACCTTTTTAAAGTGTGGGCTGTGAGTCCGCCGTGCACTGTTTACCTCACCTGCCGATATGCGTCATGTGTAGTTGCTTTGGAGGAGGCTGTAAAACTTTGTGTAGAGTCCAGTAAAGGTTGATGAGTCAGTGAAGCTAACTTCTGTCCAATGTCAGTGATACTAAGGTGAGTTGTTGAAGATGTCCTGAACTTTCCTCTGTAAGCACTGCTGATTTTACCAGTGTTAGTGAAACTTTCTTTTCTTTAAAGTCTTGCACTTGGACATTTAGCAAATAAATCTCTGGAAATGTTTTGGATAAATACAAAGTCCATTACATCCCTGACCTGGATGTCAGTGACACAGGTCAGTGATATCTGTTATGCACAACTACTTCTTCGTGTGCTTTCTTTTATGTACTAAAAGACCCCAAAAAACCCCCTTTTTTTAATCTTCTTTTTGTTTCATGTGACGCTTGCTTTCTGTCCTTCTGTCCAGATCATCTCCTACACCGACAACGAGGTGAAGGTGTTTGACGGACAGTTTAAGGGCCGTGTCGGTTTCCTACATCAGATGCCATCATCAGATGTGTCGTTCTACATCAACAACACCCGGGAGTCCGATTCAGGAAGCTACATCTTTCAGATTGTTAATGATGGTATTACTGAAACGGTTACCCTGGATGTGAAAGGTAAGGGAAATTCACCCGTTGCACAGCTGTACTTCTCAGATTCACTGTGAAACAGTAAAACAGAAAGTCTTGTAATAAAACATTACATAATCCTCTCCCCTCAGTCCCTCCTTCTGTTCCGAAGTGCTCTATGACAGGGAAGCCAGAGGTAAAAGGAAATGTTACTCTGATCTGCATGTCCAGCTCTGGGAAACCTATTCCTTTGTACAAGTGGAAGAAAACCAGCCCCACCTCTGAGGTCTTCTTCTCACCCATGCTCAGTGAGTGCACAGCGAAAAAACAAAGAGTCATTGTTTGCTATAAATGTGAATTATTGATAGAAAAAGCAGCCTGCACGCCGTCTTTTGGGATTGTCACTTAGCACATCTTTGAGAACTGTTATACATGTGAAATAATGTGTCTTCATGTGTGTTTGACTGTCTTTTCCATGTAAACTGCTGTGTTAGATGAGAAGACTGGCACTCTGAAGCTGAACAACCTGAGCAGCAACATGTCGGGGAAATACGTGTGCACAGCCAGCAACACGGTGGCAGAAAAGAGCTGCGCAATCGACCTGCACATTACCAACTGTACGCAGCAAGTGTAACCCTGGTTATGGTTTATTAATAAAAATAAGTGATGAAAAATAGTTATGGACCACACATTCAGATACACTATTATCAAGCATGAACAGCGAGCATCGATGTAATTAATTATTTCTGTTGGACACGATCATATCCTACTAATTTCTTATGACTGCTGACACGTCATAAGAAAACTAAATGAATATGCAGCGAACTTTCTTACATATATATTAAAATATTACAAATATACAATAATTTAGCAAAAGTATCATTATAAACCCCTATCACTCATGACTTACACAGATTCAAAGTAAAAAACAAACCCTGTTTGCCAGACATGTTTAACGTTGCTAGCATAGGGCTGTGACATTTTACATTGTAACCATTAGCTTAGCTGACTTTTCTATTCAGCAGCTAAGAAAATTATACTTTTGTCAAAGTTGGCTGAATTTGTCTTACTTTAACATGAGTCTGGACAGTCAACCATGCCCAACACAACCTAGCGTCCTGGGAATATATAATGTTGCAGAAGCCTGAAAACAATGGACAGCGGTAAATTAGTGATCAACATCGCAGCATTATTGTAGTGTCTTTACATTACAATATAAAGCGCCTTGAGGCAACAGCTGTTGTGATTTGTCCCTATATAAATGAAACTGAATTGTAGCTTAAAACTGATTTGCTAGGCCACAGCACAACTGGTCACCTGATTAGTCCATCTCTATGTCAAACAGAAAGGACATCTTTACATGACTCGAATATAAAACATTAATCTGCTTTTCTAGCCAGTGCTGTACAAGTACTATTGATTCTACACGAAATGAGGTAATAAAAGTGTTTTTAAATTCTTTGAGATAGTAATTGTATGTTCTTTAATTCCAGCCAATAAAGTGGGGGTGATTGTTGGTGCCACAGTTGGCTCAGTGGCTGGCTTCATCTTCCTCCTTTTTGTGTGCCTCGCTTTTGTCTTCGTGATAAGGAGAAGAAACAACGAGGATGACTTGGCCAATGAAATCAAGTGAGTCAGTGTGGCTTAAATGCAAGCAGAATTTTATCATTTAAAATTCGTAACAGCATCTCAGCTGGCCAGCAGATCTGAACCAGGACCCTTTTGCCACAGTGCTAAACAGTGTCAGTTCAGGCAAGTCATAAGTGGCAGCGTTGGTAGATGAAGTTCTTGTTGCTGCTGCTTTGAATCAAATTCATTTTAGTCCTTTGCAGATGACCCAGGTTTTACTTTTGACATGTACCAATTGCACAGGAATGCACATTTTGATCTTGCACATTTCTCAAACTAAAGTGATTCTATCACACCTGTTTAAGAAGCCTGTTTTTCAGATTTAATTTTCATATCCTGTGATAGCAGAAACAAATTACCATCGTTTCAAGATTTAATGAAGTACTCCATTTCAGTGTTACTGTGAACTAATTATGCATTTCTAAAAGTAATCTACACGCCACAAATAAGTAATCCTGCACCTCGATGTCTACAGGGAGGATGCTCAGGCTCCCAAGCGTGTGTCATGGGCTAAGAGCGGCATGGGTTCTGACATCATCTCCAAGAATGGCACCCTGTCCTCCATCGCCTCCAGCCCACACCACAAAGAGTCCTCCCATCACCACAACAACCACCACCACCACCTGCAGCAGTATCCACAGCGCCCCCCCTCAGACACTGCATCCATCATCACCGCCACAGGCAGCAATGCCGGCTATAGACCGTCCCGCCACCAAGGGGCCTCCACTCCCACCCATTACAGCTACAACAACAACACCACCCTGCCACGTGAACAGCCATTGTCCCCCGAGGCCGGCAGCAATGGCGGTTCCATGCCCAGACCCGAGCGCTACACCCAGTTGCCTCAGGCACAGGCGCTGCCGCAAACGTACAACCAGCCTCGGCTGCAGCTCCAGACCGCTCCCTCCCCGCCACCACTACCCACCTCCACCATCATGGCCTCCAACATCACCCGAATGGGAGGCGTGCCCATTATGGTTCCTGCACAGAACCAGGCCGGATCTCTAGTCTAGCATGAGCTAAGGGAATACTCTCACAAAGGATCAATTGCTGATTTTTCAAAGGGACTTTAATATTTAGCAAAGAATTCAAAATGAAAGGTCATTTACTGATGCCAACAAGCTCTCAGACACACTGTTTACTTCCTTTAAGAATACTTACTTATAGTTCTTTTGTACTCTGTATGCACTGTACACATTTGAAACTATGTATAGATATGATTTTCATACATTTGTCCAGTATCATCTTTTCTACTTTATGGATTTTAATGTTTTCATTTTTCATATTTAGATTTTTAAATGTAATTTCTTCCAAACTGTTTTCCTCCTGCCATTTACTAACCGCAGCTGGAACGCTGTGTGTGCTAATCTCACGGACAGAAAAAAAAGAGCACCAGCATGCTACACTTTATCCATTGTCTTTATTTAGAGAAACTACCTGAAGGACTCATAGGTCATTACTGTTTAAGAAGGAGAATGTTGCTCATAAACACTGGGTTTAATCTATGTATTATTAACTCTATTTCAGCACCAGACATCAAAAGACAACATAATGTGTTGTGTGATAAAGTTTGCCCTTGCAAAGTATCCTAATCCTTTTTCTTGGCTTTGCTTCTGTTGGGTTTTCAACTTGCTTTCAAAATGCTTTTAAACTCACTTCTTTAACTACAGATGAGCAAAAGCTTCTGATAATACTGAGCTGTTTAGGACTGCAGAACAGTAAATGTGCTTATATTCTTGACTAGTACTAATAACCAGTGTTGGGGAAGTTACTTTGAAAAGGTAATTAATTATAGTTACTAGTTACTTCTTCAAAAAAGTAACTGTTAGTAACTGAGTTACAATATTCTAAAAGTAATTAATTCCTTGAAAAGTAACTATTGCGTTACTTTATAAAAATGTTTAACCCTCTGGGGTCCAGGGTATAATTGGCCATTTTAACCACTTCTGATTTGACCTCTACATTTCACCTTTAAAAACTGTTTACTTGTTATCATTCTTTTCAGCACAACCTCACGTGTCTGAATTTCCAGTTATGTTTTCATTTTGACATACTGTATTAACACAATTGATCTAAAATCAGACAAAAAACATAAAATCAGAGTAGAAAAAGTTATATTTTTTACTGTAACAACAACAAACATGTTTAATGAATTATATTTCATAACTTTAAATGCAAATATAAATTGTCAATTTTAAAATCCTATGCACAAGTTTTGCAAACAACAACGTTATTTGCATCCATTTACCTTTTACCTTGATTTTTTAAATAACCATTTCAAACTATTTACAGAACAATCAGTTGTTCTGCATTCAGTAAGATGCAACACAAATTATTTGTGCCACTCCAAAAACACAATTTCTGTCCACTATAAAGGAGAACATCACAGCCTGATACCTGCAGGTCTGACAGCAGCAGGTGTATCACTCCTGTTTCTACCTGGAGACAGCAGTCGCCTCATTGTTCTGACACACAACACAAAACTATCCACAACACTACACACTAACTACACACTCCAAACACGCTAAACGTCACAAAACTCTCTCTCTCTCTCTCTCTTTTTTGTTAGACAGTGATCATGATTACCGTCCGCGGGAGCGCGCGCAGCTACTTAACGCTGTAGCGTCCACATTACTTACAGCTACTTCCATGCAACTGATATAAGATGCAGTAAGCTGAACACAGCTTCAATCGTCTGTTTGTTGAAAAATAGTAACGGAGCGCATTTTCTTGTTAGTAACTGTAACGGCGTTGTAACGATAGGAATAGTAATTAGTTAGATTACTCATTACTGAAAAAAGTAATGCCGTTATTCCCATCACTGCTAATAGCTAATAACTAATCATTTAAAGTTGCCTGCAGCATTCAAATTGTAAATATGTGAATTTTGGGGGGTAATTGGTAGCACGTTGTTGAGTGCAGCCTTTATGGACAACAGAAACAGGGGACGTGTTTGCCTTTATTACCACTTTGTGTTGGCATTCTTTTGTAACTTAGTCATCATCTGCGTCATCAGCATAAATTCATTACATACATTCATTATTTGGACCTGTTCTTCTAGACTGGCGCAAAGAGCTTATAGCATTAGAGAAAGACACCCGGTGATCACACAGTCCCGCACAGTGAGGATAAAGCTCTCGCTTTTAACAAGAGGGAGTAGGAGCCACCTTCTTTGACCAGTAGTGGATCAAGAAACTGAAAAAATATACAACCGGCCATCTGCCACAACCCAACCAGTCGCGGTAGATTGCCGCCCTTCCCTGAGCCTGGTTCTGCTGGAGGATTATTCCTGTTAAAAGGGAGTTTTTCCTTCTCACTGTTGCCAAAGCGGGTCATATTACTGTTGGGCAACTAACAATAATATGACTTTCTTTGTATTATTTCTCCGTATTATTGTAGGGTCCACCTTACAATATAAAGCGCCTTGAGGCAACTGTTGTTGTGATTTGCTGTATAAATAAAATTGAATTGAACTGAAGATCAAAAAGAGGCCACCAAATATATCAGCTAGCAGCAGAGCACCACTATGCATCACATCAGGATTAGAACCATAAGGCAGGTCTCCTTTCAAAATGGTCCACCACACTTCAGTACTTATGTATTTAAACTCCTTGGAAAAAAATTGTGGATATACAGTTATGTAGCACAAATTTGACAAATTTCTATAGTTTCTTTACTTGAGTATATCAAGTATTCACATTCTACTTAGAAATATTTGGGGAAATGTTAACAAGCGTAAAGCGCACGAAAGTCTGTTAAGAAGCCTCGAGATGCATTGTTAGGTCAGCAAATTTGAGCCATTTTATCAAGTTTCATTTAAGCTGATGGAGTTTTTGGCTAAAAACCTAAAGACTCCATCAACATTATTGCAGGACCATCAGTCTTGCACTACAGATATTCCTGGAATCTCGACCTCTTTAGACTTTCTTTATGCACCTTGGAAGTTAACAAATGTGTTTCAGTTTGCTTCTAATCTGAAACAAATAAACTAGATTTGGTTCAGAAACTATTTTCCATTTCCAAAACGTGTGGACATATTTTGAATAAAAACTGCTGTGAGGGAGGCACTGTTTTGTAAAAATCACATTTGTAAGAATGTATCCAAATAGCTAAGGTCATTTTAATACACTGAATGATTCCAGAACTTCTTTTCATTAGTTAAGAACTAAAACTATTTATTATGTTTTTACACATTAGCGCTATTTGTAATGTCTGTTGTTACTGAATATGATTTCGATTTGGAAAAGAGAAGAAAGTGTGGTCATATTCTGCTGTAGTGTAATTACACTGGAGCATATGTTTGTTATTTAAGCTTTTGGTTAATGTGCACAGATATTTTTACAATTATTTACATGACATTCTGAGATGAAGGCTGATGAGGTTGAAGGAAAACATACTGTAAAAGCATCTCATGCAAACCACTTGAGAATATAAGCTCAAGACTAAAGTCAAGATTTCATGAGGGAAGTTGAAAGAAAAGAGGAAATCTGTTTGCTGTGCATTTAAGACTCTGTGTCCTTTAAAAGTGTACATTATGGACATTCAAATGTATTCAACGCAAGCCTTTATTTTTATATTGTACATGTATAAAAAGCACATTAAGAAAAGTGAAAGAAGTGCTCACTATCACACTGAGTTATAAACCAGTGTGGATTGTATAACTGCTGTGGACAAATTGGTGGCCAAACAAATATGCTTATTTATACAGACGGCCTAAACTGTAGACAATAATGTGCAGTGTGCACTTGTATCTTCCATATTTATGTTCATTGAAAATGCCTTGTATTATATTTTCAATTAAAATTTAAAAAGATCAGCTGTTTGTGAGTTTTGTTTTATTCTTGTTTTCCAAGTTTTACCAATTTTGTCTTCTTGGCAAGCTTGTAGAAGGAAGGAAGGATTGATGACTGAGCTTGAAAGGACACAGGGTTTTCCTTTGGCGTTTTTGTTAGAAAAAAGCTGACAAGGATCTGTCATTAAACAATCCAGCACCAAGAGAGGACCAGCCACTCCTTTAAGTAGCGGTTCAGGACAATGTCATCACAGGCGTGTGGAAGTGTGGAACCAACAGGCAGAAAATCTCCACTAAGTCCCGCTGCTGCACAAAAACAAGCACACACACGTAAACACACAAACCAGGATAGCAGAGGAATTGAGTAGATAGCTGAGGTGGAGAGATGGACAGGAAGTAGGAGGTCAGCATGGAGAGGACAGAGGGAACAGATACAGAACTGATGAATAATCAGCAAATACAATGATGTCAAAAGTATGACAATCCCTTAAAAACATCCTGGGATCAGAGCTTTCTGTGTGAACTGAAAAAGATTCTTCATCTTTTTGCCAAACACATTTCGTTTTTCCAAGATCAGACCTATGCATCCTCTATAGCAGGGGTGGGCAACTCCAGGCCTCGAGGACTGGTGTCCTGAGACCTCTACTGAACCCGCAGTACTTCAACACAGCTCACACTGTTACACTGGAGGCATAAAAATAACCCCTAAAAAGAACAAACCCGGTGATTCTATCAGCTGTAATGGTATCATCTGTCCACAAGGTGTCAGATTTTATTGGTCGATTCACTGAGCAACCCTTTGATATCCATAAAGCTAAAACACTTCACAGCCTGATTGTTTGCTTTGCAACAATCCCACCAACTTCATATGTCTACATTATTGCTGTTGAGAGTTTGATGAGCCAGTACCTTCTGCTTCTGCATAGTCTTTATACAGCAATAAACAGCTGTGAATGTTATTGTGTATGAATTTTCTAGAATGAGGCTGTAGAGGTGCTACATAAATCCCAGTGAGGTTCAGCCTACCATGTTGTACTGGATGGGAGACGAGGAGGAAAGAAGCAAGCCTGCTGGAGAAACTCACACTGATTTACAACTGAAAGAAAAAAGTGCAAAAACAGAGAAAAGCCTTACATAAATGAAGAGCTTTTCCCCTCTGCTCCTCCTTCATCAGATCTCTTTCTGGTACAGGAAAATTCAGAATCGATTCGTGTTTATGGATGGATTTATGTGGATGGACCAAAGAAGTTCAAATGAAACATGGAAGCACATAACGGAGTGAGTAGAAACTAGGAAAGTGCTCAAAGCTTTAGCTGTGTGTGAAAATTAACCAAAACAACAATAATGTTTGTCAGGTTACATGGATGAAAATCATCACTTCATAAGATCACTCAGGAGTAACATGACTAAGTACAAGTTCCTGTTTGACTCTAAAAAAAACAAAAAAACCTTCATATTTGAAAGTCCTGAAGTGCACAGTGTCATGTAAAAAAATTAGACTCTAGAAGTAAAAATAGTATTTTATATTCAGTCCTGTATTTAAGAGGGATCCAGTGCAGAGGAGCCAGTGTAGGAGAAAAATGCTCTCCCTTTCTGTTCCCTGTCATTTTTGCTTTGTTTTTTAGGAAATCCTGAAAGTAACAAATTACAGTAGTCAACAGGGAAGCAGCAAAGTCTTAAACACCAGATGTGCTTATCCGGGATTTAAATCTTGAAGTTGGATCAGTGACTCTTGGCTGAATGTCCTGGAGCTGTATGTGAGGCATTCAGGGAACACCAGTCAATCGCAGCTACATTGTTAGCAGAGATTATATTCTTCATGAAATGAACAAAATACAATTACTATTCTCTTAAACAAGCAAAAAGGAAAACCCACAAAAAACAACCATGCTGAGTAAGTTTTTAAAATGTCCTTATAAGATCCCAAAAGATTGACTCTGTAAATCTC